TCTCTCTCTCTCTCTCTCTCTCTCTCTCTCTCTCTCTCTCTCTCTCTCTCTCTCTCTCTCTCTCTCTCTGTGTGTGTGTGTGTGTGTGTGTGTGTGTGTGTGTGTGTGTGTGTGTGTGTGTGTGTGTGTGTGTGTGTGTGTGGAGGGGGGGGGGTGAAAATCAATCAATTTATGAGATTAAAAAGAGCACGCAATAAAGATGTAATAACAAACGTGACAAAACTTTTATTTCTATTATATAATATCGATTTCATCCTGTTAGACATCACGATAGTTATAAAACACATCGTGAAAGTAATTTATTCTTTACTTCAAACTGCTTTGAGAAATACCAAAATTAACAAAAAACGTTTAAAATAAAATCATTTTTATTTAAAATAATTTATTATTCCTTATTTTAATTTATTATATATAGATCGATCACAGAAATAATCATGTTTACATGACATTCTAAAAAGATACATATAGTTAAATTCTTATATATAATTTATAAGCTTTATAAACATTATTTAATTTTACTGAATTTCTTTGTTTCAAGTTTTCATCATGTATCTGATAGGAGGTATCGGCGTTACTGGCGGTGCTCATCGTTTCTGGACTCACCATGCTTACAAGGCAAAGTGGCCACTTAGGATTATACTTGTCATTATGTACTCCTCGAGTGGCCTGGTAAATAAATATTTAGATACATTGTTCTTTCTATGCTTTTGTATTATAAAAAAAAAGAATTCTTCACAATTGTTTTGTTTTTCAGAATAATCTTTATGATTGGGTGCGAGATCATCGGGTGCATCACAAATATACGGACACGGATGCGGATCCACATAACAGCAATCGCGGATTCTTTTTCTCGCACGTTGGCTGGTTAATGATGAAGAAAAATTCGGAAGTCATCCGAAGAGGTCGTGAAACTGATATGAGTGACCTATTGACAGATCCTATTGCCATATTTTGTTGCAAGTAAGCCTGCATAAAAGAATGGATCGTTAATTATGTAAAATGGTTTTAGTACAAAATTTTTTCAATATAGTTTTCAATATAGTTTTCTTTTGTAAATTATAATTCTTCTTTTGTATTAATCTTGTATTTATGTCTAGTTTCTTTGACAGCATTTTTTTGCCAAATGACAACAAATGAGATATGTATACACAATATGCTAAGAGAGATTGTCGCGATTAATTTTTTTATTCTTTGCAGACATTATTCAATATTCAGATTTGTCTTCGCTTTTTTACTTCCCGTAATGATGCCTGTATATGGATGGAATGAAACTTTATACAGAGCGCTCGTATCGCAAATTATAATTCGTTACACCCTGCTTCTAAACATCATATGGAGCGTTAATAGTGCAGCTCATATCTGGGGTTCAAAACCATATAATGGGTAAGAAGATAATTATGATCAGAACTTTTCATGGACATAGATATAATAAACACTAGAGAATTTTGCCAAAGTTTTTGCCATTTTCTGTTGATCAAAAATAAAATTTTACCTTATTTATTTTAATAATAGAAATATTAATCCAACCGAGAATTGGTTGATCGCCTTTTTCGGGGGTGGTGAAGGATGGCACAATTATCATCATGTCTTCCCTTGGGATTATAAGGCTGCTGAGTTGGGTAGTTATATGTTCAACTTAACTACGATGTTTATTGATTTTTTCGCAAAAATAGGTTGGGCATACGATCTTAAACAACCCTCGGAAAAGCTTGTAAGAAACACAGCGATAAAAAAAGGTGATGGCAGTCATTCTTTATGGAATGCTACGTCACATTCAGATAATAAAATTGAATAATTAAAATTAATATCATCTCCATGTTGAGTTTTATTAAATATTTTAAATTAGATAGGTATAAATAAAATAATAAATTTAATAATAAAATAATAGAGTAGCGTGCAATGTAAAGGATTTTATATAATAATTTAATTCATTTTATTTGAAAATGCAACATTCCATTACTAATTATCTAATACAATAATTAACTGTGCATTCTTCATCATCTCTTAATTTCAAAATATCTTGAAAAAGTGTTTATTAATAAATAGATTTTACAAGAGCATTTTATGAAAGATTTTTTTATTAATATTGTGATTACTTATTTTTAATTGTAAAAAAATTATAAAATGAATTTAAATTGTACAAATATTTTAAGATTGTTTTTACAAAATATTGTAGAATACTATTTTAATACATGATAGATTTATGTTTAGAATTATGTTTTTGTTTATTATTGTCGGAGCTTCGTGCTCCATTTTCCGTATGAAAATACTTACACCTTTAGTCGGACATAGTTTGACCTTACAGGTCTGAATACAGACAAACGAATTCTATTTTTGTTCTTATACCTAATGTAAAATAAGGTGTGTCGTTAAATGTAAATTTATTTCAGAGAAATAATGGCCCATACTATTGGGCTTCCAGGGCATTATATATATATATACGTGAGTAGCATAAACCCGAATTTTATTTTAGTCAGACTAAAGTGTGCAACGCAAAACGTCGTGGACATATCTCATTTACTTTATTAATTTTCTATATTATTAAATAAATTTATTTATTTTTGTATCATATTAGTATTTGATATAAAAATAAACTGTGCTGTTTATAAACAAGATTAAGAAACATTATACAAATTACAAAAATACACTATAATCTACTTATCTTACATATTAATAATATTCAAAAAGATGTCAATTAAAACTTCAATTTCTAGCGGTAAGTAAATTCTAAATATTAACTATTAATAATTATTAATAAAATTAATTAGTTGATTTTTTTATGTAATTCAACATGCGTTAAAACATTTGCTTGAAGTTTTTAAATAAATATAATTAAAAATAAATAGTTTAATTAATTTATTTATTTTAACATTAATTTTTAATTATATTATTACCATATTTAGCAATTATTATTTTAATTTAATTTTTATTTTTATTTTGAAAGAGTTTAGATATAAACTCAATTTTGAAATTAATTAATCCCTCACTCTTGAAATTCTTATTACAAAAAAATATATATATAAATTAAATGTATCTTTCAACATGCTTCTAAAAACTACATTGCAATTGAAATTGACATTTATTATTCAGAAGTTGGTGACATTTACATGCAAAGTTACACAACAAATCAAAAGTTATAAAAGTTATAAAAGTTATTTTGATAATTAAACGCACAATTTACTATAATATTTTGTAAATAATTCTGGTAACATATTTCTCACATTCACGAAATTCTCATTGAGGAAAAAAAAGAAGTATATATATATATATATATGTGTGTGTGTGTGTGTGTAGTGTGTGTGTGTGTGTGTGTGTGTGTGTGTGTGTGTGTGTTAGTTAAATATCTTTTAATTTGTTTCCAAACACAACATTGTAATTTATTATGAAATTAACATTTATTATTCAGACGTTGGTAATGTCTGCATACAAAATAAGTTAGGCAACATATCAAAAGTCAACATTTCGATAAATACATAATTTAATATAATATTTTATAAATGATTTTTATAAGCTTAAAAATTCTATCATAAAATATAAAATGTGTCATAACATATTCGAGTAAATAGATATTATCTTTAAAAGATAGAACATAATAAACACAAAAAATAATTACTGCATACAATGGAAATAAAATAAATAATAATAGTAATAAAAACTCTATAACTATAACAATTTATCATATTTCTGTTATAATTTGCAGAATAGTGCATTATTACATAATTTGCGATAGAAACTATATCTCCTGGAAAAACTTTAAACGTATATTTTATACGACATGACACCGAACACGTTTGGAACGTGTCCTACTATAGGAAGCAAGTCGATCAAAGAATCTACAAATGATAAAATACTAACAACCGAATTATATAAAACCGATTATCAGTGGAAAATCGTTTGGAGAAATGTCATAATTTTTATTTATGTGCATCTTGCTGCCATTTACGGACTATACCTGATTTTCTTCAAGATTAAACATCGGTCACTTATATGGTGTATGTGTTTATTTGCCATTTCCAAAAATCTAGATAAAATATGCTAGAGATTTTATTAAACAGGATCATTTATAATTTATAGTCACAGCTATCGCTGTCGCCGCAGGTCTTGGAATTACAGCTGGCGCCCACCGACTGTGGTCTCATCGATCTTACAAGGCAAAATGGCCCCTAAGATTTATTCTCATGATTTTCCAAACAGCTGCCTTTCAAGTAAATTTAATATTAATCTGTTTTCTTCTCGTTAAAGTAACTAACACAACATATCTAAATTAATTAAAAATTAAAATCACACATTCTGTTTCCTTAATAAAACTTTACGTCACAATAATATTAGCATTCTTAGTGATATTACGTTTAAGCTTACATTTAAATTTTTCAGGATGATATTTACACATGGGTCAGAGATCACCGTGTGCATCATAAATTTACCGACACAGATGCAGATCCATATAATGCACGCCGAGGTTTTTTCTTCTCGCATATCGGTTGGCTTCTTGTTCGTAAGCATCCTGATGTTGCGAGCAAAGGTGCCACGATTGATTGCAGCGATCTCAATCAGGATCCATTCGTGGTTTTTCAAAAAAAGTACATATCATTCTTTTTTTTTTAATAAAACCAGTTATGCATTAGTCTTTAGTCAATTCTACTGATATTATCCCGCGTTTATATTTTCTTCTTTAGATGGTATATATACTTAATGCTATTCTGCACCTTTATTATACCAACATTAGTACCTTGGTTGGTATGGGGTGAATATTTTTGGTATTCATGGAACGTCACAGTCTGCAGATATTGCTTAAATCTTAACTTCACCTGGTCAGTGAACTCAGCAGCTCACATATGGGGTGTAAAACCATACGATAAGTATGTAATTTTGCTATTTTGAATTTATGAAAAACAAATGTTTTCATATAAAAGTAATGAATTGTTTGCAGTATTGTATATTGTTGTTTAAAAAGATATTGTTTTATTGTGCAGATCAATCAGTCCTACCAACAATGGTGGAGTTTCGTTCATATCATTTGGCGAAGGATGGCACAATTATCATCATGTATTCCCTTACGATTATAAAGCGGCGGAACTTGGAAATTATAGACTCAATTTGACTACAGCTTTTATCGATTTCTTCGCTTATTTAGGCTTGGCTTACGACTTGAAAACCGCGCCTACAAATGCAATAAAGAAACGTGCCCTACGAACCGGAGAAAAATATTAAAAATAAATTTAATCATTATATAATAGAATGTAGTGCCAATTAATTTTCTATTAAAAATTGATTTTTAAAAACAAACTTACAAACAAACTGTGTAAAAGTATATACTATGTTTTTGATTTATCATTTAATGTATAATCTCGTTTCTGATTGTACTACTAATTGTAGAGCATTTTATATATAGCAATTATAATTATATATTTAGGTATATATATATTACACAAAATCTTATTTTATATTATTATTTATATATGTAATTGTTGTTTTAAATATGAATATTGCAAAAAACAATACATAATTTTATTACTGCTTGTGCGACAGATTGACATTTGATCTGCGACCTTAATCAATTAGTATTAGTTTTCTATTAATAATGTGTATTATACATACATATTTGAAAATGAATGAGTGAAACATAAAATAATTAAATTGAAAAATATTGAAAGCCATTTTTAAGATTATCACATCATAAAAATAAAAATAAATCTGCACGAAAGAGAGAGCACATTAAATATTTCTTTTAGATTCTTTCATTTAAGAATTTAAGCAGAAAAATTTTGACACACACATAATTTATAACATATGTATGTATTAATATAACGTATGTTTAAATTGCAGTAATGTACAATGTACAAATTAATTTAAGGAAATACAATGAAAAGAAATTATGGAGATTTATTTATAAATGATTTTCTCCAAATATTTGCAATAAAATATGTATTTATTTTATGTAAATATAATCAAAATAAACAAATTTTATATTATAAGCTTTTTTGATATTTTTCAGCATTTTTTTGTTTTTATGAGTGCTTCTCTATTTTTTCTTTCTTTTAATAATCTTAATAATAATTTTAATTCTATTTCTTTTAAAATGCTGTTTTATCGGGTCTATTTTTTATTCTAATTTCTTTTATATTATATATTTGTTAATTTAACTTTTCTGTTGTAATTACTTTATCAAACGTAAGTACAATATTCAATTAATTTTATTTATTCTTCCATATAATACGGAAACTGAATAGAAACCTTTTGATATACGATTATTTTCTTCTTTCACATCAATACTGTCCGATGCTATAATAAAGCATGAAACAGTTTTGTCAACGTCTAGATAATATCCATATATTTACTTGTTTTACATATAAAATTTAAAAACAAAATCATTTAACTCGGAGAACAAAGCGAAGAAATGTATTTTGTAAAAACAGTATAAATTTTCTATTACGTAAAATAAAATATTTGGTTGTTATTAAAGAATGTCCCAACTAAATAATTTCGGACCGAAGACAATGAATGTTTTTTTTTACATATTGAAGTACAATACTACTTACAATACTACTGACTTTACTTAAAATGCTTTTCAATGTTGCTGTTTGTTTAAAATAGTTACGAAAATTAACTAGAATGACGCAATAAATTTGCATAACTTGACAGAACGCATTAATGCAACTTATTTATTTATGAGTTTATTTATTTATTGCTTATTTTATATGTAACGTAGATTTCAAAAATATTCGTCGTTTACAATTAAAAATTCAATACGAGAATTTGTTCTATCATTACTTACAGTTGTGCACTGCGATTAAGAAAAAAAATACAATATTGTGAAAATTCGAAAATTAATAACTCTTTAATTATTGCAGAAATCGCAAAAAATAATACATTTTTCTGTTTAATATAATTCGCTCATAAAAAGTGATACGATTAGCGGACTTATATCATATTTATATATTAATTATACAGTGAAAATATATAACTAGGAATTAATAGAATATATAGGAAAATAGAAAAGTATATAGGAATATAGAAATAAGAAAGGATTAGAAATAGATCAGATGGATAAAGAAAGATCAAATGTAAATATGAATGTACGTAAAAGTTGTTAAAAATAAGAATCTAAAAGTATAAATATGTAAGTCTGGACGTAATTAATAACGTAAAAATGTAAATGGAAACGAAGATAAGCTTAGAATGTAAATGTAAATAAGAAAAAAGTAAATGTAAATTTAAAGTGTAAATAGAACTGATAAACAGAGCTAGTAGGAGAAGTAGAAATAGCATATAAATGAGAAATGCAGATTAGATAATCAATGGTCAGGAAAAGAAAAAAATTTTAATGTAGGCGCAAAATATAGGATAAAAGTAATGAAAAGTGTGAAGGTGTGGATGAATGAGGTAAGGAAAACTTTATAAATCAAGCCCTTCCATGGCAATATAAAAGCTGAAGAATACATTATGTATCTATATTATAATAATAAATTATCTATCTATATATCTATAATTGCACTATTTTAAATTCCGTTTTAAATTCGAAATTGCATAAATCAGTTTTAAAATCAAACGTATGTAAAAACTTGACGCGCTTGGATTGCTTCACTTTTCATTTTTTATGCAAATATAATAATTGAATAACGTTATCGCTTGCTTTGTTTAAAACAGAAAGTTATAAGCACATCTTTCAATTATTTTAACAATACCTATTTCCTGTTATTTACATGATAGTTTGCAATATAAGGATTTCTCAATTCTATAACCAAGAAGCTCTAACGACATAAAGCTCGACGATATGGATTTAATGAAAGATGAGGACATCAATAATGACATCAACGATAAAAAATCTAAAATGATTATATCAAAAATGTTAAACTTCAAAACTGACATAATATGGTATATAGCACTACAACTTTTTGTATTGCATGTTGTTGGCATTTATGGTTTATTGACTTTCGACTACATGAAAAACTTAATGACCACATTATGGAGTAAGTATCCTTATATTTTAAGTATGTCATCTTATTTAAAAATCTTCAAAAAGCAATTTAAAAAAATTTTTTAATGTTTTTTACGTAATTATTATACGAGAACACTATGATCTCTTTAAATTCATATTTTTAATTAATTAAACGATCAAAATCAACGATAAAAATCAAACGATTAAAATTAATATCCTGGCCAACAGTTAAATCTCTCCCTATTTTTCTGCAAAAGATATTAGTAAAATCAACAAGAGTCTAAAGATAATAAATTTAATCGTCAATAATTTTATTTATAATATAATTATTCGAATTTTTATGATTACTAAGAAATATTATATTTTTTAATTTTTATCTCTGTCAAATAGATTTTCATAATTAAAGAGCGTTGACTAATTTTAAATAATAAAAGTATCATTTCGTAGAAAGATTTAAAAACAATATAGATACATATTCAAAATTGAATTAATGTAGTGTAAATTGTAAAATTAATATTGAAGTATAAATGAAATATTCACTTATTTACATTTAATGATCAAAATCAGATCAAGTAACGTCAATACTTTTCATATTAAGGCATTATATCTAATAAAAGTTTATAATTTTAATAACATAATAATTATTGTTAAGTAACAATTGTGAGTAACTAATACATATACTTAAATTTACGTTTTGATTATTTTGTAATATTTACAATTATTATTATTCTTGTTTTATTATTCACGTTTTTTAATTATTTAATAATTTATTGTGCAATATTTAGTGTAATAAAAAATAAAAAGTATTACAATTTTTTAACCAATCTTTAAGTATGTGTTTGTATTTTACAATTTTATATGCGTTGTTCGAATTACAAATTGTATGCGATACACACATACGCATGCACGCACACATGCACACACGCATGCACATCTTTACATGTATACATATACATGTATATATACATTTCATATTTTTAAGTACCTGGAATGTATCTTATATCCAATCTTGGCTTATCCGCTGGAGTCCATCGACTTTGGAGTCACAAGTGCTACAAAGCAAAATTACCATTAAGAATTTTACTTCTAATATGCTACAATTCAAGTGGACAGGTAACATTTATAAAGTATATTATTTATATATTGTATTACTATAAATCTTTATATATTATGTAAAATACTAATATATAGTAAATAAGTAATTACATATATACAGGTGTAATTTTATAATTTCTAAGTTTTTTTTGCCATAAACTTTAAATTATATAAATGAGGAATATTTTTTTACATTACGAAAAGATAAAGATAAAAAGCGAACAACTTCTTATAACTTTAAAACAAATTAGCTCTTGCATGCAAACAGTAATGAACAATCAATTCAATTCTGCATAAATAAAATTTCATCAAAATATTTAATTATTAAAAGAAAATATAAAGTTATTGTAATATTCGAAGATTTTAAACTTACTGAAAAGAATAATTTTTCATTTTGGTTAGAATTTAGAGAATTCATAAATAATATATATTTACGTTTCATCTGAATATTCGATATAATTATATATGTTAATTTTGATACATATACATTTTTTTTAACTGTATACAATTGTGTATACATTTTAATTTTAATTTAATATTACAATTTAATTACTTTTAGAATACGATATATAACTGGGTAAAGAATCATCGTATGCATCACAAATATTGCGATACTGATGCCGATCCTCACAATAATCGACGCGGATTTTTTTATGCGCACTGTGGCTGGGTGATGATGAAAGAACATCCAGAATTTATTAAAAAAGTCAAACAACTAGATTTATCGGATATTATGTCAGATCCTGTTGTAGCCTTCGGTGAAAGGTATATAAAGGTTTAATTTGAAGAAAAATTGATGAAGAATTGATGAAGAATTGATATTTCTTTATCTTACATAAATCATTATCTTATACGCATACTATTTTAAATATAAATATATGCAAATAATATCTGCTAAGTGCGGATATGCTTAAGCAAGCATTTGTCATATTCATTAATCAATTATATAAATATTTTTTTCTTTATTTTTTTGTATTTGTGTGACTAAAAGATTTATCCTTTATGCAAAATATAAATTCACAGATTTATTGACGATTTTAATATATTTCCAGAAATTTAAAAAATAAATATAAATCTCATTTAAATAAATACCAAATAAATTTTATTTTAACAGATACGCTTTACCGCTCCAACTTTTCTTCACGATTATCCTACCTACGATAATACCAGTCTACCTTTGGAACGAAACTTGGAGTAGAGCCATTATATCGCAAATATTTATACGATATATGATTTCCTTGAATTTTTTATGGACACTCAATAGCATGGCTCATGCATGGGGCACTAAACCATATGATAAGTATGTAATTTTAAGTGTACAATCTATTTCGCAATTTTAATGTATTTACGTAATGCTAATGATATCAAAGAATTATCTTGCAAGGAAGTATCACATTTAATTAATAATAATTATAATATATAATTAATAATAATGTAATTAATAATAATTAATAATTTCCTCAAAAAATAATTGCAGATTTAAATTAATTTCAATGACTTTTCATATAATTATAAAAAGGATTAATATTTTGTCTTGTTATATTGATATCCATTTATTAATTCTCGTTTCTCATTTTTAGATACATAACCTCGGTAGACAACAATTTTATCTATTATATAACAACTGGAGAAGGCTATCACAATTTTCATCATGCGTTTCCGTGGGATTATAGATCATCAGAAGCCGGAAATAACAAATTTAATTACACCACTCACTTCATCGATATCTGTGCAAAATTAGGATTAGCGTACGATCTTAAATATCCGTCTGATGAGCATATAAAAAATGTTATATTAAAGAATGGTGATGGAACACACCCCATAATGTCTGAAGTACCAAGACCACAATGAGATAACGTGGTCAAAATAAAATAAAAAGCGCACTATTTGTTTAATAAAAACATTACAATGCATTTTCTAGTTTTTAAAATGATTTCTTTGTCACTAAAAATAAAATAAAATTGCTCTAATAAGATACAAATAAAGATATATCAATGATTTAATATTTTATATTTTTTATATCAATAATCTCTGCTAAATTTTATTTTTATTTTTTTCAGCTATAATAAGTTTTCAAAAATTTTCTATTATTTTTAACATTTATTGTTTTAAAGATATACAAAAATTCAAATAGCAATACAATCAAAAAAAAAATTAAATAAAATAATAATTTTCCAGAGAAATAAATAGTGTCAAGTTAAAACACAATAAAATTGCGCAGAACTGCAAGATATCTGTGATTTTATTTAGGTGAATTCATATTTTGTAAATTAGAATAATTTCAAAAGACATAGTCGTGTTACTATTGATATAATTCGTTTATGTTACCTCAATATGGCACCCAACATAAACATCCTGACGAAATGAGTAAGGTATTCAAGGAAATTAATAGATTAAATTAAGAAAAATAGATGTATCGCTGAATTACAGACGAAATTGCTTATTTCTTTCACAAGTTACAAGTTTACAACTTATAAAGAAGGAGAATAGTTGTTGATTGGGAGACTACACTAAGAGAGCTCAGAGAACGAGAGAAAAAGAGAACGTGAAAAGGAAGGAAATTTCTGACGGGAAAAAGTAAAAAGAGTGTGAAATGGTGAAGGTGTGTAGATGATAAAGTGTGATTCACGAAACGGTGTAAGTTCTTGGAGGTGTACAGGTTCTTGGAAAGATATAGCATTAAAAAACAAAGGATTCGCTCATTTAGGAAAAGAGATGAAAGAGAGAAGCAGAAAGATTATTATTATTTAAAGTTTTAAAAATTTGTTATAAATTCCAATAATTTGCGAGCTCGCCTATTCTATTTATTTCAGCAGTATTTCACGCCGAACGGAAGCCATTTGAAGGAACTTGAATTCACTAGTTAATAAGAATAACAATAACTAATGGATATTTTTCCTTTAAAAGTTAGACAGAAAAAACAAAAGAGAAAAAGGAAAATTGTAGTAGTAATAGATTGAATAGAATAAACAAAAAGATTATGTTAAATATATTAGATCAGAAAGGCGTTTAAATGAAAAAAAGAAAAACGATAGAGAATATTAGCAATCTCGTAGGGTATTCAGTGGAAAACAAGAGTAAATTAGTATGAATGGGAAAGAGAGAGAGAGAGAGAGAGAGAGAGAGAGAGAGAGAGGAGGAAAGAAAGAAGAAGAAGA